GCTTCTACTAGTTTAAGTGGTTTTATGTGTGTTTTAGGAATCTGAATTCAGGATCTCATACTTGCATAGCAGGCACTTTCCCAACTTATCCCTATCCCAGACTTTCCTTGTTTACAGCATTTCTCCCCATGAACCTTTAATGTACACTGAGAAGATAAATATCCATCAAACTTAACAGCAAGAGAATGCTGGTAATACATTTTGATTATTGATTGTAAACTTTAGAAGTTGTACTCTAATTTATTTTGATCCATATCATGAATTAAGGTTGTCCCTTGTTGAATGTCTTTTCTTCAGTCTTGTACTTTAGTGAACTACAAGACAAAGATGGAATGGTATCACATGCTTGTAAATAGGATCGTTCACTTGAAAATATCCTGCTGTTACCTGGTGCTATTAAAATTTTACAAGTACAGTTGCTCTAAGAATAGCATATTTATCCTACACATTGTTTGAGGTCTCTCAGGGGCCGAGTTAGTGGTGGTGACTTTTGTAATGAGTATCTTCACAAAGAAGGAAGCTAACTTGGACAGTCCATTTGTATAATGGATTGCTATCCATGTGCCTTTGGAGGGCACCCAATGAATCCTTTGCTGGACGAGAAGGAGAGACAACTCTTGGGAAAATAAGACTTATATAAAAGTGTTCTTGCAAGAAATGGAGGTAGGCAGGAAAGGAGGCTTTAAGGAAAATCAGGGATAGGTACAAAGACATCAAAGTAAACAAAATAGGATGCCCATCAGTGACACAACTATAGACATGACTCAATGCAGGTACAAATGAGTATATGAAGGATAAAAACCTAGAATTCATATGAAAGGAAGAATTTTGGAAGGGGGAGACTTTGAGATTGAACCAGAAACAGTCGAGAACTGAGGGGAAAAAAGTGGCCTCAATATATTTGAATTTTTAAAAGACCACTTGGTCAGAATTCATAATGTACACATATATAGATTATCAAACTCACTAAACACTGTAGTGATAATTCAATTCTAAGATGAGGGCATCATAAACAAAAACAACTGCAAAGGGGATTTTTAAGACCTGGGGATATTGCTCAGTCAGTAAGATATTTTCAGCTTGCTTGAGGACTTAAGTCCAGTCCCCAGATCCTGTGTAGAACTATTGGGTGTTGTAGCACATACTGATAGCACCAGTGCTGAGATGGCAGAGACAGGCAGATCTCTCAGGCTACCTCACTAACCAACAAACAAACCAGCAAATTCATGATCAGCAGAAGAACAGTTTAAAGAAAATTAAGGAAGACATCTCCTGAGGAAGAACACCTGCATGCATGTGTATGTAACCTCAAATATATGCATGTGTATACACACACATCCACACCCCACATACACCAACATACAAAGAGAGAGAGACAGAGAGAGAGAGAGGGAGGGAGAGAGAGAGAGAGAGAGAGAGAGAGAGAGAGAGAGAGACTGACTGACTGACTGACTGACTGACTGACTAACAAATTTAACTTGCTGGAAATTTACCAATTAGTGTATCTGGCTAGTGAGAGTTGTAGGGATTTGTCTGTCTACTTCTTTAGTGCTAGGACTTGACTAGTAGTTTACTCAGTAAGCCATCTCCCAAACCCTTTCTATGTGATATGACAGTAGGTTTCTTTTATAGTAGTCTTTGATAATTCCTGTGTATTTAAAAAAAAAGGGGGGGGGATGATGAATGCTCTTGTGCTCAGGCACCTGAGAGAGCTTAGAGGTAAACTCTGGGACTTCAAGTGTTAATGAAACTATAATAATAGGCCCTTGGTTGAGTCTTTGAGGGATAAGGAGGTGGCAGAAGTTCCTCACATTCTAAATAAAGCATTATTGTACTACAAACTACCCACAGCATATGGGGAACTTAGAGAGGAAGAGTATAGGGGTGAAGACAGGATTAAGAGTGAGGGAATCAAGATTTGCACCAGAAAATGTCCATTAATAGAGAAACCACTTACCTGAGGGCTACCTATTATTAAAACATAGCAAGTACAAAATAAGTTCTTGGGAAAAGGATGGTAATTTTTCAAAGGAACCTGAGCCTGGCCTGGCCCACTAGTGTACGAATGTTCAGAATGGCCTTTGTCTTTAATATGGTGTCTATTTCCACAACTATCCATGTCTTCTTTTCCAACTCTTTGTTTCAGGACACAAGAACCTGGACATTTCAGTGAGTGTCTTCTAGGATTGGATTCGTATCTTTAACAGAAGACATTTTTTGCATTAGCAGGCTCTCTGTGAGTCTGCTTGAGAAGCCACTCTGTATACCTGAGCTTTAACAGTAATCTGAGGCCTACACAACTAACAGTTAGGGCCTTTGCATCTCCTGGTTTCTAGAATTCAGTCTAGGTTTCTAAAATGTAGATATCTATAGAGCCAAGTAGAACAACTAATAAAGGGAGTGTAAGAATGACTTGAAAGGAAAACATAAGAAAATATTACAGGTAGGAATTCAAGAATGTTTCCCTACTAAAGAATGGTCAATTCCTTAAAATAATCGTGTGTTTCAAAGGTTAAAGGGTTATCACATTTGTTTTAGCCATTGTGATTAAGAAAACAACCAGTTGTGGAGGTGGACACCTGTAATCCCAGCACTCAGAGGCTGGGGCAGAGGACCTGAGTAACAGTGAGACTTTCCCACAAGGAAAACAAAAAAAAAATAAATAAAACCTTACTATGATACTGGGCTGAGTAAGAAAGGTTGCGGCCCCTTTCTGTTACTCACTATGATATTATAAACTATGATGCCCTCATGCCTCTATTTCTTCAATAGTAGAAACATGGCATAGTAAGTATATTAATATCAATGGGTAACCAGAGTTCCTAGGCCAGTTAAGCACAGGATGAGTATGGGTTCATTAGAATAATTAGATGCAGTGATTCCTGTTCTGCATTTTATATATTTTTGGCAGTCATATTTTCAGAGGTACACTATAACTGGTATTGGTATGTCAAGGCCTATCCTTAAAGACACTTTATGGACAATCCTTTATATAACTATCTTTACATTGTCCAAACACATCAGCAGAAGGTGATGCAATTAGAAGGAAGATTACTGGGCTGAGTATTGATAGACATTCCTGCTTGTTCCATGGATTAGCTATCTGTCCTATATGTAACTTCTCAAACTGTCCATGCCCAAGGATCTAAAGACTGACTCATACACTAGAAAGGCATGGCATGGTAAAGGTAACATCCTGATATGTTGCAATGTTTTGGCCAAATCTTTTAAACTAGTGATAAGTTGGTGATTAAATGGCCCATGTACTTGAAAAATAATCAGCACTCCTCTTCCTCTTATTTTTCCTTCTCTTTGTCTTTCTCCTCTACTTCATCTTTCTCATCCTCAGCTTCCCCTATCTCTTCCATTTTTCTCTCTACTTTATTTTTCTCTCCCTATTTTTCTTTCTGTCTGTATTTTCTCTTTTTTCCCTCTATTTTAGCCTTAGAATAAGTGATATCTACAGCATCATGTGGACTATCTATTGTTATGCTTCTTTAGGCACGATCATCCCAGACATTCCTTAATTTTCATTATATCTTTCAGATTAAATGAATAGTTCTTTATGTTCAAGTCATACATACTTTGCCATGATAAAGACAGGTAACATTAACAAAAACAACAACAACAAAAAAAAACCAGTCAGAAAACAGCATACCAAGAGAAATATATAATTGGTGCATGAGGTATGGATAAGATTGCATACATGCTATCTTACATAGACCACACTTCTTCCATGGCACAACACAGTCCAGTCTGCACTTTAACTGTGTGATGGTGATAAACTGACCAAAAGTTTAGAATCCTGTCATGGTACCAGAAGTTTGCAAGAGGAATTGAACCATAGTCTTAGTCACAGTAGTATGTTGGATGAGATCATGCTATGGGGATAAATGTGTGTTTCTCAGTTCATTTGTTCAAACAATTATTATATATGATGGGATTCTGATTTTATTTTGTACTTGATTATCATTCTATTAGGAGGTTTGGTCCTGGCATAGTATGATAATAAATCATGTGTTAGAAAATCTTGATTCCTACTGCCATCATATGTGGTTATCATTATTTCTTGTATAATATAACTTCTGTTTTTTTTCTGTAATCATCTTATATTCACTAAGTCTACCTTCTTTCTAAAGTTTGATTCAAATCTGTCTTGAATACTCATAATCAGCAATGTCACCATGTCAGGCTAAGTGCTGCAAATAAGTTGAAAACCTAAAATCAAGATCTTCTTTGCAGATTAAATTTTATTGAGCATGTCACCAGCAAAGAATTCCATATAACATTGAATTTTAGCCTTCAAAATACACTTGAGTTAATCAATATATGTGAAGTCAGGGGAAAATGCCCTGTAAGAATGCATTAGTTTTCTAAATAATTATAATAATTTCAAGAAGAAAAGTAATAACCAAATTTTATTTGTGAAACAGTAGTACTCTTTGGCCAAGTAAAATACTTCAGGTCTTGCCATTTCTGAGTGGCAATTAGGATAGTTCACTAGTCAATAATTATATAAAAAGATTGTAGCCTCTAAGAGAAAAAAATTATACTCTCAAAAGTCAAGTCTTGAGTGACAGAATTATGGTTCCTATATCATATTTCTCTTGAAGACCTGGGAAATGCCCATCTAAAATTGTAGTCAATATCTATGCCTTATCAGGTCTCAGTTGTAATCATGGTAGCAAATATGACAGAATCTGTGTAGAAAATGTCCTGAAATTCAGATCTGCTTATGATCTTTTATACTTTACGGATTTCAACATGGAATAAATAATACGTAATTATGGCAATACAATCAAAAATAATTAAAATCAATGAGTTTAGACTTCAGTGGCAAATTGACACTGGCCCAGGATACCAATTATGGGTTATAAAGGTGAAATAGAGGAAAGGTTAGACTCAGGCTGCCCAGCTGTGAGAATCTGCAGGGTACTACAGTACATGAACTGTCCCTCCAAGCAAGGCTGTCCTTGTGGCTCTATGCCACCAACACTCACCATTCCTGGAGAGCAGGATACTAAAAAAACTCTGAGAAGAGAAATTGAGGTAGAGCAAGAGGGTCGGAGCTTGTGCTGTCACAAAACGCAGCATGATGGTTTCTTTGGATGGAGCTGTATCTGTGTAGATAGCTGAAGATGAGGTGTTTGTGTTCTTGGTCACCAGGTGTAGTTCTTGAAACATGTATGTAATAGAGGTGGCAGAATCAAAAAGAGCTGAAATCTCTGCAAAAGAGAATATAAGAGAACATACTTTCAAACATTTAGTGAGTTGCTATGTAATATATGCTCCTTGGATCTTCTGAATTACTCTGTAATATCTGCTCCTTGGTTCTTCTGAATCCAGCACTGAGAGAGGGGTGTTTTAGAAAACCATACAATCTCCTTCTTGATAATTTAAAGATGCTCAAAGAAATTCTTGTGTGCATGTTCACATGTCCAGATATGGATTCATGTTGATATTGGAGATATCAGGTTGGATGTCTCCCCTTATCACTCTCTACTTTGTAGTTTTAGAGAGTTAAAAAGAAGCTTCCTGACTGGTTAGACTGACTGGTCAGTGAGCTCAGGACTCTTTCTCACTTCCAGCAGTCACATCTAGTTTCCTAAGTTGGTGCTAAGAATCCAGACTCAGGCTCTCATGCTTGTCTGGGAAGCACTTTGCTGACAGAGTCATTTCCTAAGCCCATTGTAACGTTCTTTTTAATTACACATATGGCTGGGGCGGTTAATCATTACACCCAACACTTTTTCTGTATTATCATCTGATTCTGTGAGAGAGTGTTTGTAAAACACTGAACAAGAATGCCCAGCAAAGTTTACACTTTTCAAATTTCCAAGTTTTTCACCAACAAATCTGCACCTCCAGGTTATAAGCCCACCCTGCTTTACAACCACCTATTAGGAGGAAAGTAGAAGTTAAGTTTATGGTTTGGCTCCCAGCACCAGCCAATTATGCTAATGGCCACAGTAACATCCCAATTAGATGCTTGCCAGGCTAGAAACACTCACTCCTCCCTTAGCATTTCCTACAAAATCTTGACAAGATAAGTGTTTGGGGCTTTTCTTCATCAGATACTTCCTGTGGGTAGACCTATAAACTTGAGCTTGTAAATAAAATCCCTGGTGTGATTGCATCAGATTAGCTCCTTGTTAGTACATGTTGATTCGCTGGCTGGGCAGTTTCCCATAGCTTTCAGGACTACCGATCTGGATCCTCTTGATGCCAACAAATCCAGTCTAGGTCTGTCTATTTGTGTGTTTGTGATGCTACAATAAACTTTTTATTTCCTGTCCATAAGGTAAATCTGTCCATGTTAAGAACTTCTGGTCTTTCTGCTAGTTAAATCTGTCCATGTGGTCTGAACAGTGCAGCAGTTTGATTCTGAATGGCACCCCAGTCTCCTTCAAAGGTTTGTGTACCTAGTGTCTGTGTGGCAGCGAGGTCGTGGTGTAACATCTGTAAATATGGTTCTGAAAAAAGGGCTTGAGTATGTATCCATTACCAGGATGCAGATAAGATAGACGTATGCGGACCAAGGCCACAATGGGCCAGGAAACACTCTAAGCCCAGATCAAAGGTGGACATGGGCTCAGAGAGCCAAAACGCACCCCACCAATCTAATTACTTTTGTCTCTTGGTGGTGAAGAGGAAAAGATGAGTTTATTTTTTGTGTGTAGTGTCACTTCCTGATTGTTTCACATTTCTGCCTGAGAGAGGGGAAAGGTTGAATTTGTGTTTTTGTGTATTGTACTTGTATTTCAGATTACTAGGTGACTTTGACAGATGTATTAACATGAGACAGGCACCTTCAATCCAATTCAAATTGTTTACCGACTGACCCCCAGAAGGACTCTGTGACTTGACATGGGTCGAAGGGAACAAGACCAAATACCTTATGTGGTGGTTTCGCAAGACTTCCTAGAGCACTTGGTTCCTTGTCATAAACCTTTACTTCCTAGACAATGCCTAGAAGTTCTTGCCTTGACTAGCAAAAAGGCCTAGGACACAAAGGAAGAGATTCCAGATGATCTATCTCCTTCTGCATCATCTCTCTACTCAGCAACAAGGCAGATGAAACAGCGTGGTGTATAGCCCTAGAAATTGCATTCCTCGTTTCCTTTTTTGCCCTAGACCCCAGAGAACTTAGGCTTCCTAACCAGTATACAGAAGATGTAATCGGAGCCAGAAACCTGCCCATATCTCATGTCATAAACAATACAACAGAAAAATTCAAACTAATTGTACCAGAGGAAATGTATCTAAAATTCTGAAAAAGATCCATAGTTCTTCATACATGTGTGACCAAAGAAAGTACAACCTGGTCTGCCAGTTTCATATTAGAATCAAAAATGTCAATTTGAAACTAGCTGAAATATTTAAGAACTTTAAGGCCTACCAATTGACCACTGTGATTATCAGTGAGAATAACCCCAGTTATTCAATACCAAACACCAAGCCAGGAGTCTATTGGTAGTATATTTGTAAATGAACTACACGGAGGTAAAACAAGAAAAATTCAGGTGTAGTTATTTACTGGTATTAACAGATACCTTTTCAGGATGAACCGAGGTTTTTCCAACTAAGCATGAGACTGCTCAGATGGTAGCAAAAAAACTACTAGAAGAAATTCTTAAAATGTATGTTTGCTTTTAATTTTTTATTGGTTATTTAATTTATTTACATTTCAAGTGTTCTCTCCCTACCCTGTTTCCCCTCCAGAAGCTGCCTATCCCACCCTTCCCCCTTCTATGATGATGCTCTCCCAGCTACCCTCTGACTCCTTCCTTACCACCCTAGCTTTCCCCTACTCTAGGGCATTAAGCCTTCAAAAGGCCAAGGGACTCTTCTCCTATTAATGCTGGACAAGGCTATCCTCTGCTACATATGGAGCTGGAGCCATGGGTCCCTCCATATGTAATCTTTTGTTGGTGGTTTAGTCCACTGGAGCTCTGGGGAGTCTGGTTGGTTGATATTCTTGTTCTTCCTATGGAGTTGCAAACCCCTTCAGCTCCTTCAGTCCTTCCCTTAAATCTTCCTTTGTGGTCCTCGTGCTCAATCCAGTGGTTGGTTGCAAGCATCTGAATATGTATCTGTAAGACTTTAGCAAAGCCTCTCAGGCGACATCCATATTAGTCTCCTTCAGCAAGCATTTCTTAGCATCAGCAATAATTACGTGGTTTGGTGTCTGCATATGGGATAGATCCTCAACTGGGGAAGTCACTATATGACCTTTCCTTCAGTCTCTGCTCCAGTCGTTGTCCCTGAATTTCCTTTAGACAGGAGGTATTCTGGGTTAAAATATTTGAGATGGGTGGGTGGCCTCATCCCTCGTCATTACCTCTGGATATGGTTTCCACAGGTTCTTTCTCCCCTTTGTTGGGTATTTCACCTAATGCTGTCCCCTTTGGGTCCTGGGAGCCTCTTGCTTTCCTGGCATCTGGAACTTTCTGTTGGCTACACCCAGTTCCCCATCCTCCATTGCTACACATCTCTGTTCAATTTCCTGACCATTTGTACATCTCTCACTTCTCCCATACCTGATCCTGTCCCTCCCCCCCTTTCCCTGTCCCCTCCTCTCTTCTGGCTAAGTTCCTCTCACCCTCTATATCCAGTGATTATTTTGGTTCCCCTTCTAAATAGAACTGAAGCATCCAGACTTTGGTCTTCCTTCTTGAGCTTCATATTGTCTGTAAGTTGTCTCATGGGTATTCCAAGCTTTTTTCCTAATATCCACTTATCAGTGATCACATACCATGTGTGTTCTTTTGTGATTGGGTTACCTCCCTCAGGATGATATTTTCTACTTTCATCCATTTGCCTAGAAACTTCATGAAGTCATTGCTTTTAATGGCTCAGCAATATTAATCCGTTGTGTAACTGTACCACATTTTCTGTATCCATTCCTCTGTTGAGGAATATCTGGGTTCTTTCTAGCTTCTGGCTATTATAAATAAGGCTGCTATGAACATAGTGGAACATGTGTCCTTGTTATTTGTTGGAACATCTTCTGGGTATATGCCCAGGTAGCTGTCCTCAAGGAGTACTATGTCAAATTTTCTGAGGAACAGCCAGACTGATTTCCAGAGTGGTTGTACACACCTATACACCAAACCTGTGTTGCAGCCATAAGATGTCAAGTATACTTTCAACTTTGCTCTAGAGAGTGGGTGTCCCATTCTTTACCCACCAAATCACAGAGGTAGACATGGAGACCAGGGAACCAGGTACTATGAGGCATAACCCAGGAAGTAGAATTGACAATCTTCTTTGTGTCTGAATTGTTGAGAACCCAGACAAGATTAAGGGGATGATGGCATTTGGTTCTGTAGTACTTTCATCAAGGAGGCTCATCAGGATTGCTGTGACATGAGCTTGGGAGGATTGGAAGGATGTTTGATACCCTTCCATTGGGTTTTGTCTCTGCTTTTGAATCTGCTTTGACTAGTACCTATTATGCATTTCAAAAACCTCTGTAGCATGCTGGTCTATTAATCCATTTTACCTCCTCCTCTATTCTAGCTCTATGGCTATTCTAGATTAGAAAACTAGCCAACAACACCCTTTTCCCCCACCCCTTCACACTGCCCCCCCATAGCTTCTGCCTCTTTTCTTCCCTTATTCTGCTTTCTGCTATTCTCTCCCACATTTCCCTGCCAGTCTCCTACCCCTGCAGTAGAGACAGCACAGGCCCTGTCCAGTTCTATGTGCTTCTTTATTTTCTCTGTTCTGGACTCTTCCTATTGTGTCTATCTGTTCTCTCTCTCACATATACAATTACACTTTCCAGGGAGCAGCCACTTCCATAGATTCTTCACTGTGCCCTCCAATACAGAGGGAAGGAATAAAGTTCTAAACTTGTTTCTCTTCCACAGGATCATATGAACTACAACAGCAGCTTCACAAACCAAAGTGAAAACAGATGCTTAAAATCATTCCAAATGTTAATAATCTGTTAAACTCCACCTCCAGAGTCACCTGGCAACAGCCAGGTATGTTCCGCCCCAGAGTTACCTGGCAACAGGCAGGTAACCCTGCCCACTATAAAAGGGGCTGCTTGGCCCCTCCTCTCTCTCTTGCTTCTCGACCCAGCACCTGCACATTGTTGTCTCCCCTCCCCTCCCCCCTTCCCTTCCCCCTCTCTCCATGTGATCATGACCGGCCCCACTCCTCTCTACTTCTCTCTCTCTTCTCCTGCTTTCCTACCCTTTTAATAAACCTTCCC